TTTAAATTTGAATATAATCTATTAAATAATTTTCTTAATTAGATGATCCAATTAAGAAAATGGCTGGTCAATAACAAATTTTGGACAAGTATTTTGAAAGTTATTGGCTTTATAATATAAAGACTAAAGGTAACCTGTTTATTTTTATCTTTTCGCATTAATAAACAGCACTACTCCAGAATTTTGTATAGAAATGTTAATACTTTTTAAAAATACTAGTTCAAAAGTTATTGTCGACTATCATTTTTTTAGTTAGATCATTATTTAGTTTGTAAACTGGTTAGATATATGTGTTTCCATTAAAAAAACGAAAGTAGATCAAATTTTGAGGTGGTAAAAGGAGGGAGGATATGACCTAATAGTTTTCTGGAAATTGTAGAACATAGGAACTTTTGAAAAAAAGAAATTATATTATGTTCTATATTTTTGAAGATGATGCATTATTTATAAGATATTGTCATAGTTAAACAATTACTCTGTATATTTTATGTACATTGGATTATCAATTAAGATAGAAATCCATTATGTGTAACTGATATGTGGACATATATGTTAAATTACAGTAAACATATTTGTATAGGCATTATACAAACAGATTTTCTAGCAGGACAGTTAATATACTATATGTCGGAATAAACAATGTACAATGTTAGCATAATATATAGTATATAGTTACACTAAAAAAAACATACAATTGTATTAAATTTAATAAATCTAATGTTTAGAGTTTAATATCAGTGAATTTGTGCAGTATTAGTATTTTTACTTTAAAAGCAATATTAATTTTAACTTTATCAAAGTATACATATGGAATTAACAAATAAATGATTAAAATATTTAACTGTCATAACTCTATAATATACATACATTTTAAACATGAAAAATATTTATCATGATATTTTCTGAATAATAATATTAAAATGTTAATCTACACAAGAATTTTAATTTATGAAATAATAAAAAAATAGTAGTTCTTAGTAATGAACGAGTAATAGATATTATTTAAAAATAATTGTAAAACAAAATTTTTTATACAATAATTACATAGTTGTTAGTTAATATTACTGATCAGGTTTAAAAAAAATTTCACATAAAAAAAATCGAGATGAGATAATACAAAAAGACATTTTATTTAATGTATAAAATAGCTTGTTTTAATAACGTTATGGATACTTGGCCATGATAAGTACCAGATGTACGGCATTATTTACGCCAGCTTTGGTTAAAATATGCTTGACTGAAAATAGTGGACAAAAAATATTTTTATGTACTAATGTAATCACAAAAACATCTGCTACCAATATTGGATAGGAAAATAAACCACTTCATGGTTGCTTTCTTCGAATGGAACAAATAAGAAGTTCATGAAACTCGATAAGGCATAACTGTTCATGGAAATATACATAATTATTCAACCACTATTGGCTAAATAATAGTTCAGCTGATAACTTTAAAAAAGCATTACCGAGATGTATTCAAACTTAGTAATTAACCATGTAATTATGAAGGAGGATATTACATTAATGTGAAAGTTTGTAACTGAAAGTTTTCATTTATAGAGATGTTTAGATAACAACTCAATTATTTTATGAGATTCTTTTAAGAGATCAAAAATTCTAGAATTTAAATTTTAAGTTTTGTATAATAAGTTATAAATATAGTGAAAGCAAAGCTAACAAGATTAAATATTGGAATCAAACTTTGTGGAGAAATTGTTTCAATGATACGATTTGCCGATGACATTATGGTAATAGCAAAGAGTAAAGGTAACATACAGCGTGCTGTTGAAGAAACAAACTCTTATAGAGGACAAATTAAATGTAATGCAAGAGTCAAAATCTTTAAGGAACTTAAAGAAAAGACGAGTAACCGGTTAGAATGGAGAATTGGAGTTGTAAACCAACCTTCGGGTTGATAAAAAAAAAAAAAGTAATAAAAATGTAATGATGCGGAAGCTATCATTTTGATAACACCGATCTGTGTTTATGACATTATAATGTAAACGATGTTTAAGAATTTATTGAATTTTCTATTCATTTAATGCTAAAGTATTAATTATGTAGTGAAAACAGTTTGTAAAAGTAAATTTCCTTTTATTTCTATAAAATGTTAGATAAGAAGTGATATCACGCAAACAATAAACACAAAGAAACAATACGATTCACTTGCTTGAAATGTTTTCGGATGTATCCACGTTTTCAGTTATGAACTGTCGTTTCGGACTCGTTGCAGAGTCCATTTCCAGAGCGGTAGTTACAGGCTCTCGTGGTTGTAACTATACTGAGTATCGGTTATACTATACTAATGAGTATCGCTTTAGTACTAAGTACTATCGCTTTGAAGATGGACTCTGCAACGAGTCCGAAACGTCAGTTCATAACTGAAAACGTGGATACGTCCGTAAACATTTCAAGCAATATAACAACACACGAAAGCTTTAACATATTCAATACGATTCAATTATCATAAACCATTTAGCTACTCAAACAATAAAAACATTGTTGAAAATTGTCTATTTTTGATAATTAATAATAAATAACTTCTTATATCCATATACTGTATTTTATAAAAAAATCTCAACTTTATATTTTTCTAAACTAATTTATTTATTATTCAAAATATGTGCCATGTCTCTACATTCATATTGAAATTCCATTTAAAAGAATGAAAAATAAGTATATTAGTTTACACTCATTAGAAAGTTTTTCGTCTTTATAAAATATTTATGTAGTATGATAAAACTTTTATTTTAATATTAAATTAACAATAATTAACAAAAAAAAATATATATTTTTTCACTACATATAAACGAAATTTTTAATTGTTATTACTTTACGTAATAGATTAATAACACAAACATTTTTGTAACTTTTAGTACATTCAAGTTAAAAGTATAGTAACAAAATAAGTTGATCAACACAATAATATTGATAAATACAGCATAATAATGTCGGGGAACTTTAATAGCTTTATATATCAGTATACATCTGGCTCTTTAAGTTTATAGATTTTTGCGGGATAATAATAACCGAGAACTACACTAAAAACTTTTCATTCGTATATTGGTTACCATTAATGTGTGGTTAACGCTAATGACGGTAACAATGTTGTGTTACTATGTATAAACAAACAACCGCACTTGTATTTGGTTATTTTTCAATTGATTACTAAATCTTGCGAGTAAAGTTTTTTCTAAAAAAAAGTGTAATACGTTTGTCATTGAAAGTTAGGATTAGAAATAGTTTTTTTATAAATGCTCACATTATAATTTAATATTTAATTATATAATGGATTTTTTTCTAGAACTTCTAGCCTATTCATTAATTTTCTTATTTTACTGGGTCGGATTAAGATAAAAAAAGTATAATACTATTATTATATATTATGTAAACATAAAATATGTTTTTCCTAACATGTATTTTTTAATATATTGTAATAAGGGATTCCTTTCTTATCGAGTCATACAAATAAATTTTAATTACTTTTATAAAATAATAATAACATTTTTTTAAAAGCGTTAAGCATAGAATTTTTTTATAAGAACTTGTATTTTGTACTTGTTCTTCGATATTTTTATTTATAAACATCCTTTGTTATGCATTTACAGTTACAATTTCATGTGTTTCCTCGGTGTTTAAAACCACCATTAAAATTGTCCACATTTATCTTTAATTAACTAGATAATTTGAAATAAAAAATAAACCCATTCAGGACGTAGTTAACTAATCTATTTTTTGTATGTATATGTTATCTAATCAATCTTGACATTGTTTACTATCTAGTGACAACGAAGTTAAATTGAGCCTTTCAAACATATAGGTTTGATTAATACAACAAAATCAGAGAGCATTTTGTTTGTTAAAGCGTTCAGCATTTGAATGTGAATGAAAGACTCGTTCAGACTCGGTGATTAAAATAAACATTTTTCTCGTTAAAAATTTTTTATATCACATCAAAACAGTTAAAAAATACTTTGATTGTTGATGCTATGAACGTACAATAACCATTAGCCAAAACATATTTATTTTATATCGAACTGGGTCATCATTTTAATACGAAAGTTAGTGTTATATACAATTTATGTAACCTATGCCGTACATCCCTTCTTTTGGATATCTGCCCGTTACTTTGTGCGTGAGGGGAGCTAAACCACAAGCCTCGATGTGATTCAAACGCTTGTAATTGTCGTACTGTTAGTTTTCCCGTAGGAATAAACGTTCCCGGAAACAACTTAGCTTCACTAATAAATTGTCGATTTATTTGAAGTTATAGATGTTTGGTGTGTATATTTGAGCTTTAAGATAGTTATTCGTTTATGTTTTGATCTATCATGCAATATTATAAATTATTAATGATAATTTTACGACCAAAAATCATAGTAAAAAATTTTATTATCAACAATAAAGAAAATTAATTTAAATATATCATAAAATACTTGTTTAGTTACCAATCGTTGTTTTCGTAGTCATTATGTAAATATAAAAACAAATATGAGTTATATGGTTCTATTTGAATATTTGATTAAAAGTTCAATTTTATTTCCTGTATTACTACTAAGCTTCCGTTCATGTATCTAAGTTTAATGAAATACGACATATGAAAAACCAGGTTTCATCTTGTTTACAAAATTTAATATATGTTCTACATTTAATCCTTAATTTTATTCAAAGTAAAACATGGCGGTATAAACCATTTATTATTTTTATTGTCAAATCAAATAATCTTTTCTGGATGTATATTAAATGTATTGGTTAGCATGCTAGTACATTATTCTAAAATTTAATGCCCCAGTTAAAAATCCTATGTGCATTTTCTACACGTTACATACTAGTCATTGCTATAGGTTATATTTGCAACGATATTACTCAAAGTACACAATATTACGGGTTGATGAATAATATTATTCAAAATTTATGTATGCAGTTTTAGTACTTTCGTCAAATATAAAATAATAAAAATATATTATCTCACAAATCTTGTGGTTTGAAATCTCTACTTACCAGCACTATAGATATTTTTCTTGTTATCACTTTTGTACAAAATTTTTATAAATATCCCATTCTTTATCAATCTGTCTGAAAAATAAGTAAAAAAAAAAAATTAAAAAGAAGGTTGTATAAACACAGATAAATGTGGTTTTAGAGAAATGAAATCCGTCTTTTCTGTAACAATAAATATCTTGTAAGAAAAATCACCAGAAAAAAACCAAATAGTACTGAAAGTAGCTCTACTATGTTATGATCATATAATATTTAATCTTCATTGTTACCAGTACCGATAATTATTATATAAACTTATAATAAATACTATAAAATTATTATTGATATATATTAGCATCTCTTCTGGAGTATTAAAAATTGAAGCTGTTAGATTTTTATGTTCTATTTTATGATTTCTAACAGAAATATCATCGAGTATACTATAGTATGTTCATACACAATGGTAATACGAAGTACTAATATTCATGATATAAATTCTTTTAGTATTCACGTAAGTAATACTTCCGGGTTCCATTTGTAATAAAAATAAAATATATGTTCATACTTTAATCATATTTTAATTATAATATTTTTGCCTGGCGTCGGCTTGCTATAAAACCAATTGAGCACGAACCTGATATAATCTTACAAAAGTCTATAAGTACATGCTTTATGAATCTGCAAAATAATTTTCGAGTGACATGAAATATTCTCCTATTTTCTACATAAATATTTTTTTTAACACTGGTTAATTAATGTAGTTAAAACTGTTATGGTTGTAAACATTTATGTTTAATTTATATAAATCTTTTTTCGGTTGTATATTAAATGATGGTACTATAAAAAATTTGTGTCCAAAAATTTGTTCACAGATATTTGTGATGGTATAAATAGGAAACATATTTTAAGTGTACATATTTAATACAAACGATGATTTTACTAATATTAATATTATTTATAGTGAAACTAGGAGTTTAAAAAATATACAAAATAAAAATAGTCGAAAATTTATTTTATCAATAATACACTTATAGTAACTATTCGTAATAACAAAACTTATAAAAAATAATAAAGAATTTTACTTTCTCAGATATAATTATGCATTTTAGCATACATATTAGTAAAATCATATTAATTTTAAAGAGAAAAATGTTTAAGTTTAAGCCAAAAATGCACTTACTGTAAGTAAAAAGTGTACCCTAAATGTTGTTATTTTAAGTAAATAAAGTCTTTGACTCATATCCAAAAGTTGTTGTGTCATAAAAAAGGGGTTTCTGAATTTTTTTTATAATTGATATAAAAAACGATGTTTTTATCATTTGTCAAAAAAATATAGAAAATTGAACGTTTTTTTTTCACTTTACAAATATTATTTACTATACGACATCATTTAAGTTTTAAAATTATTTTTTCTTTCCTGAAAAATTATTAAAAGTGACATAAGTATCAGCTTTTGAAAAAGAGCCACAAAAAAATTACTTTATTTTTAGCTAAAACACAATTATGTTCACCGAAAATTTGTTTTAAATTTATTTTATATAAATTATTAATGAAAGCTTTAATAAAATATTTCAATGTAATCTGTACTGTTATATACGTACCAGTAGTATATAACACATTTTTTTGCAATTAATAATTACTATGTAGTGATTATCAATGAATTGGGTAAAATTACAAAGAAGATGACTGTATTAAAATTTTTATAGTTAAATCAAATACTAATTAAAATTTAATAATAATGGAAAGTCTATAAATGTTAACATAAAATTTTTTAATGATTAATATGAGGTATACAAATTTAACTTTTTTCATGATAATGTATATATTCTGCAATTTGTAATTTAGAACGATTAAATTTATGACACTTGGCGCTTTCTAATTAAGATTTATTAGTATGAGCTGATTTTTATTACTTAAATGTATTAAATACACTGTCTATCATAATTAAGTATAAAAAATTTTCTTTTTACTATGCACTCTGTTATCATAATATACTATTAATTATTGCTCTAAGTATTTTAAGGTAATAAAAGTCTTTTAACGTTAAAATTCATTTAAGTAGTGTTGCATAATATATAAATATACTTAAAAACAAATATTGTTTAAGTTTTTATTAATAATTACTTGAAAATACTCGCACTTTTATTTTCCTGGTTAAGTATACAAAAGGACCCATGACTATTAATTCATCAACTGTGTTAGAGTATGTAAACCATCGTAATAAAGTTTTTAACGATTCAAATTTTTAAAGACTGAACTAAACCATTTAAAATAGTTGAAACAATGTCAAATAAAAATTTTAAGCGCGGATTTATTTGGAGTGGATTGGACTAAAATGTTATTATTAATAATTGTCATTATAATTGTTTGAATCTACATCAATTTTAATATAAGACAAGTCCATATTGTGATGTATTCAAGAACGTGACCAAGTAGAGGATAGAGATCATGATCCTTTTCACATGATAATAATTATATGTTGTTGATACATAAAGTGTTGATTATACATATTTAACCTCTTCTCATAAAAAAATTGCTAAATATGCTACAGCAGTATTTAATTATAATATAAATTGAGTACTAGACACAATGGTAATTCTATAGATAGATGAAACCAAATTGAAAAAAATGTTAAAGATAACAATTTCTTTATTTTGAGTAAAATCATTTTGGACTATTGAATTAACAAAGTTCAATCATAAACACAAAAAATTTGTATTTGGAATGTTTTTATCTAAGATATGTTCAATAACGATTGTACATATCTTGGATAAAAAAGTGTGTATAATTATTATACACATTTTTTAAATAAATATTAAATTATTTATTTAAAAATTGAATACTTCAATATAATTTTAAATTTAAAATTCAAGTCACTATTTTGTTATCAAGTATAAGAATAGTATTATGTTTAATACCATATAACAAAATCGCTCTAGATATTTTATTATAACTTTACTAGTGAAAATATATCTTTGTTTTTTTGATAAGATTATAATTGTTACATACTTAGAATCATGAAATACTTATTTAGTCCTTATAAAATTACATTTGACTAGTGTTTTTACAGATATAAACTATGACTCTGTGTTATATGACGGTATTTTTATAATTATAATTTCTTTTGAAGGTTTTTATCTAAAATTTTAATAAGAAAAATAATAGTTTAAGATAAATATACCTCACAGGTGGTAATGTCTTAGAGTCTAAAAAGTACTAAATTTTTACTTATAGTTCAAAAAATTATGAAAATAAACTAAAATTTTGTTTTTTATTAATAATTAGCTTTCACACTGAGTAGAGGCATATTAAGAGTGGGATTGACTTTATGTTTATGTATCATAGTATCATAGTTGACACCCCGCCCATATACTACCCACTCATAGTATTTTAATCCTGTTACTCTCAGAACGGATGATCTACCAGTCCACCAAAATGGATTAAAAAATTTTGCCTACATCAAATCATTGTGTGTATAATGTAATACTGTAGAATATGTTACGTCACGAGCTCTAATACTTACTAAGAGTATTTGGTCGACTTTTTAATTTTTTTGTATTTTAAAAGTTCAAATACTAATTTATTTTAAACAGAGTAATAATCAGGATATTATAACTCAGCAATTCGTCAAACACTAAAAAAATGGTACAGACTTTTATCTAGGTGATTATTCATCAAAAATGTAGGTTTAGCATGACTAATGGGGGGAGGCTTTAGTCAAGATTATTTTCAATTTTTTACGATAGCATAAATTTTAATAAAACATTAAATATCAAGGATTTTTGAAAAATATTAGTTAAGTTATTTTAACCTATTTTGGCAAAAATTAGATTACATTTGGTCGAAAATGAAGTCGCTCTAAAAGAAAAGGACCATTTTGACGGAAAACGGCGACTATGTAGCTTTAATATTTATGAAAAAAATTTGAGTTTAGATTAAAATGGCTAGAGGTATAGTAGAGTCTTATTTATATTTAATTTCGAGTAGTAATATTAATACACGTATAATTAAATAATTACGGCTCATTTAAATAATTTTAAACTAATAAATTTTGAAAAATATTATTTTTTATCAAAAAGTAACACAAAGCTATTTTTATATTAGAATTCTCTTTTGGATTTTGACGTCACTAAAGCAATGTAATACAAAATCGTCGAATTATAACCATAAAACTACAAGTACATGGAAAGTCGTATGTTAGTACAGATGCAAATCGGATTACAAAAATGTCTTATAGCGAAATATAATTGCATCACAAGCACCAGCCTGGTTACATTTGTTTGTAAATGTAAAATTAAACCTATTTTAAGTGGAAACAAACATTTGTTATGTGGTACTTTAACCTCGACGAATTTCTAAGCTGGATTATTATTTCTACTATCAGTAAACTAATAGGATATTATGTGGCAAATTGGGCATTACTTTATTAATATGAAATTATATCATATCTGTTATGTTCAAGCAAAAAAGGGGAAGTTTAAAATTACAACTTTTAGAAAACTAAAATTAAAACTTCATGAAATATAATTTTTGTTTCAAAACAAAAAAAAATATTTTTTTTTATATATTTTTACATTTTAAAGTAAGAATAAGTAAGTGTAAACTGAAAGTTTCAATTTCATTTTGCACTTATCCTCCTTTGATCGAATACTCTAATTTTATTTAATATTCAATTTAATTACACAAAAATTTTGAGTTTACAATTAATTTTAATATATTCAATAAAATGATAGGTTTAAAATTGTATTTAGATGATATTTTTTAGCAATATAAATTTAAAACAAGCTGACAATTAGTAATTACAGACAATAGACGGAGCATTACTGATCGGAGAAGTGAAGAAGTTCGGCTACTATTATCGACATAGCAGTGTTGCCATTGCGGGTGGTGTAAATCATTTACGAATTCTAATGTATCATGACTTATATTATTTAATTATGTTCAATGTTATAATTAAAACTATTTTACAAAAGTAAAATTCGAATAAGTGCTGTGTGGAATTGTGTTTTTTTTTTTTTTTGATACTTGTTATAGTCATTTCATAATTTGCGTACAAGCATACTTGATTCTATAAATAAATTTATTGATTCCTATCA